ATTCTTAAGCATTGTATGTAATAATACACGAATAATACATAATATACATGTAATAATACATGAATAATACATGGCAAAATTTTTTTCATGTATTATCCCATCCCTAGTTATAATTGAATTTATAAATTGAATAATAAATGAAAATTATTTATTTTTTAAAAATAACATGATTGTAAAGAAAATAGTATTTTTGCTTTAAATAACATGAAAACATGTTTAATGTAATTATGAAAAATTACATAATTTAATTTTAAATAAAACAATTTCAGTTAAAAGCCCAGGACATTTACCACTCAAACCATGTTGTTTTATAAATTATAATATAACACTACTTATTATACAATATAAACACTAGTTTACACATTATATCAAATAGTCATCATTTTTATTATATGAATTTTACATTAAAAAAATTTTTGTAATGTTTTAATCAAACTTAACTTATAAACAAATCGCTAGCATTTGGCAGAAAGCATATATCAAGTAACATTTTAATATGAATTTATAAAACATAGTTAAAGATATCAATATGCTAAAGTAAACAAATTAGACATTATATAAACAGGACATCCATTGGCTATTTTAGATGCAATAATAATGCATAGAATATAATAGGATTCAAATTAGGATATTTCATTATAATCTGTATTCATCACTATTATTGATGCTAGGATAAAATAACTAAACATGATACTTTTGCTCGTACGATGTGTAATGATGCAATATATTGAATATACAAAGTGATTGTTTCAAACTATGGCAGTAATCATTTGTTTCATTGGTTAAAAATGTTATATAATAATAAATAATGTTTCATGTGTTGGACTGAAATGTAATAACAAAATCACATAAATGTATAAAATAAAGAAAATTAGTTTAATATAAGATATTTGTAAAATTTAGTTAATGAGTTATTGTGAACAATAAGTTGCTGTGAAGTGAATGATTTAATTGCTAAATAAAGAATTTACTTTAATAATTATAACATTATGTCCGTCTATAACAACCAATTCATTGAGAGTGAAACTACTCCACAAATAAATGCTGACAATCCAAGTGATGGTAATTATGAAACCCAATTCATTGAGATGTCAGCCATAGGTTCGGGAAGTTTTGGAACTGTATTTAAAGTAAAGCATAGATTGGATGATAAGATATATGCCGTGAAAAGAGTATCAATTAAATGTAAGTTTTAATTATAATTATTTGTATAATTTTAATAAATATTTTATAACATATTTTCACAGATTTTAGTGAAGAACGGAAACAAAAAGTTCTGAGAGAAGTGAAAAGTTTGGCAAAACTGGACTCAGATTTTGTGGTCAAGTATTACAAGCATTGGTTTGAATGCAATCATCTCTTCATTCAAATGGAGTTCTGTTCGCAAAGTCTTAAATCACTTCTCGAAGAGAAAGCCATTGTCTTCGAGAGACAATCGGAAGGCATGAAAGTTATTGAATATTTCATTTCATGTGAAATATTCAAACAACTCTTAGAGAGTGTTCAATACATTCACGAACGCAACCCTCGTGTCATTCATAGGGATCTTAAACCCGACAATATATTAATTGATCCCAACTTTACGTCCAATCGGTTCGTAAAACTGTGTGACTTTGGTTTGGCCACCGATCACGACATCGATGGTAACACTTCCAGCCGATACAACCATACAGTTTGCGGTACCCGTAAATATATCGCACCCGAAGTAAATAGCGGTCGATATAACCAAAAGGCAGACATTTATAGTCTCGCTGTAATCGGTGGCCAACTCTTTGGTATTGATCTTCAGTCGTAAGTATTGAAAAAATTTTAATTTTCAAAACTTTTTATAATTATATTTTATTTACTGATTTAAAGCTCGCAATCATTTGAAGCAATAAAACCAGAATTAAAGGCTTCAATGAAATGTTTAATACAGACATTACAGGCAATGATAACGAGTGGAGATATTTGGCAAACGCCCCCCAAATGGAGACAAAGGCCTGAGTGTCGGGAAGTGTTGGCCAAACATAACGAGTGGTCTATCAGTCATAAGACAGTGTCTGTCATATACCTGAAGGAAATTATTTCATTGTTAAAAACACTCGACAAACAATCAATATTTAATAAGATTATCTATAAAATGATCATGGACAAATTAATGATTAACATGAAAGATCTATTGATTGATTATTCCGTAATGGCATTACAACGGCGCTATGGCTTTAACTTTAAGAAATTGTTTACTAGTTTTTTGAGTAAATAAAGTAATTTTCTATTTTTATTATTTGTTGTGTTGTTCTCTGCGTTAATATTTTAATAATATTAGATAACAAAAAAAAGTTTTGCGAGTATTTAACATGAAATTAAAAATTAATTTATTCTTGACAATAAACTTTAATCCACTTTAATGATGGTCCGTATTATTTAACGCCACTCATCTCACAGACATTGGAAGGGCTCCAATCGGGAGGGTATATGTATGGGTTGGGGGCGCAGTGGGTGTGGACTAACATAACGTTAAATATTTCATTATAATTTATATTTATCATTATTATTGTACAATGGGATAAAGTAAATAAACATAATACTTTTGATTATATGATGCATAAGGAATCATTATTATTAATGGTACACTATATTGAATAAACAAAAGTTGTTTCTAACTGTGATATGATATTACACCAAAAGTCCAAATCAACGGCTCCTTTTTCAACGACCCGCTCTCCCTGTGCTATACATTACCCTTGTTTTCATTAGTACAGTGAATGTTATACGAGTCGTTAAAAAAGAAGTGTTGATTTGGACTTTTGGTGTTATTCTTTGTTTCATTGGTTAAATATAGTTATGAGTGTTTGGAATCCAAACTTTGGATTGAAAAGTAATTAACAAAACTACACACATATTAAATTGAATTGTTGAATATATGTTAAAATTAGTTCATTTGCCACAACATTTGCTTGCAATAAGTTGCAGTAAATGATTGATGATTTAATTGTATAATATACATTTTTAAATTTTATTTAATCAAATTTACTTTAACAGTTCAATGAGTTGTGAAGCGGGTGCCCCGATTGTGCAGGTTATTCCGAAACAGCGGTATATAATTTACCACGCTGATCTTGAGCATTATACACGTACAGTTGATAATGTACCTAAACTGTACGTGTATAATGCTCGTGATGAGCGTAGTTTTGCCCGTCACTCAACACCAGTGATCTCTGGCCGCCGAACTCCAGTCCTGGCCAGTGGCTGAGGTGTTGTCGATGGCGGCGGTGGGAGTAGTGCTCAACGGGACAGCAAACGGCCCAAACACATGGCATATAACAAACAGTTCCTAAAGGAGTTGGAGTCCATCATCGCAGCCATCATCCTATCGGTCACAACAGCAGCGACGGCATAGCAGCAGCGGATCAGGTGCTCAACACCAGGCAAACCACTGGCAGCAAAGCTTTAGTTTAAGTGGTTCCGCAAATACTATTATAACTCATAAACAGCATTACAGCAGTAGAAAGATGAGACACCATTTACTTGCCTGTTCATAAAATTGTAATACTTTTCAGATGCCATCAATGGGATTGCAAACACAGCATCTGTGCTGCCCAGCGATGGTCGGACAGGAGCTGATGCTGAGGCCAGTGATGTGCCAGAATTGCCTCAACTCAACCAATCACGCCATCGTCACGCAAACGCTGGTCAATTCGGTAAACCCGTCGGCAGTGCCTAAGGCCTGTTGCATACCTACAGAGCTGTCACCCATTTCTATGTTATCCGTCGATGAATACAATAAGGTTGTGCTGAAAAACTATGAGGATCTGGTCGTTGAGGGCTGTGGCTGTCGCTAGTTTTTTGTCTGCATTATTTGCTACAGTATTATATGCGAAAACTAGCGACAGCCACAGTCCTCAGCGAGCATTTGATGCATTTGCGGTACAAGAGATCGACCTCTGGAACCGTTTAGAGACATCATTTCTGGTTTCAAATCAACAAACGATACAAATTGTGATAATTGTCTCGCATTTTCGTAATTCATTTAATAATTCATTTGTTAATCCTTTAATTATATTATTTTAATGTTTTTAAATAGTAATTTTATATTCACTAAAAGTTTGTTTATATGAAAAATAACAGGTCGGGCGGGTCTGTCGGTCCACACGTGGTTTGTGGGCAAACATACTGCGCTTGTGTTGGGACAACATATGGGACAAGTCTTGAGGCATGAGGTGTGACCACAAAAATTGGTGGTCCAGTGCTAAGTGTGAGTCCAATCGGTTCTGTGGATCAAGTACTAGGAGTTTGTCCAACAGGTCCAGAGCCAGCGGACACTGTATGCCTGGTCTCAGCCGCTCCTTAACTTTCTGGTTCTTCGCCAAAACCATTTTGCTGTACAGATCCGGCCGTTCGACACCCGGCCAGACATCGGCGGTGATTGAACGGCACAGTTGACTGATTAAGTTGAGTTGCATCTGATATGTGATGCCGGCCATTATTGAGCTCCGGGTCCACATCTGTAATTGTGAGTGCAATAAAACACAAAATTAAAAACAATATTAAAGCTCTAGTTTACAGATACCCCTTCCAATGGGCCGATTGGGCATTGGATCAGGTGTTTAGCGCACACATATTTCAGCAATTATACAACCGGCGCCCCACAGGTCAACGGGTGAGCCGTAATTACGTTCGCCGAGCAATAGTTCTGGCGGCCGATACCACAGAGTGACCACTTTATTGGTGTAGCGTTTGGTTGTATTACCTGAGCTAATGGCTCGGGCGAGTCCAAAGTCGGCTAGTTTTAAGACCCCGTTTTTGATGATTAAAATGTTGGCCGCTTTCATGTCTCGATGCAATATCTTCTGCGAGTGTATGGAAAACAAGGCGTTCAACAGCTGTTGCATCACTTTCTTGATCTCTCCCATCGAGAAACGGACCGTACGGTTGGCTAGTAGTCCGGCATAAGTCGTGCTCACATAACTCCAGCGTCAGATAGAAAGTGGCCGCACCTGTACTGATAGAATGGGTGGTCTGATGAGCGGCCGTAATATTGGCCGACTGTTTGTCAACAGATCTCAACGATTGATACGATATTCTTGTGGTTCAAGTGCTCAAGTATTTTGATCTCACGACACGCCGTGATTGAGAAGCCCTGTCTCTCTCCTGTTCGTCAGCACCCGTCTCAGTACCACTACTCGTCTGTCCCGGGCTTTCAATATCTCACCGAACGTACCTATGGTTTGGGTGATAACAATAGCAATATTAACATTATAAGATTAGTTCTAACGCTTAATTATGGTGATAATAGAGATGTATGAGTGTATAAGTTGGGGTCTACAGGTGATGATGATTATGGTGTGTATGGGTTGAGTGGTGGTGACCAAATGGCCAATCGCGGGTTAATCACACGCACACTAACACCACAGCCATCATCGCAAGTGCTGGTCATCGAGATGTTTAACTTTACACCAGTGTTCAAGACTTGTATCCACCCGTGTTGGTAGTGGTGAGGCGTAGATGGAGCGATGTGTGTAATAATAGGCTATAAACATATGTTTATTAAAACATTTAATTAATTTTCCTCCATTTTTTTGTAAATTAATTACGATAAAATTATTTTTAAAAATATAAATTAAAAATCGGGATAAAGTTTAGTTGTGTTAAAACACTGTTTATAAAACAATTACAATTTTATATATATGCTTAATATTTTATTTAATAAAGTTTAATCAAATATAACGAGATTACAAATATTTCATTACATATGCAAACATATTAAATAAATGACATTGTTGCAAAGTTCAGTATCTTTGTCTTCTGCCTTTTATTTGGGAACACACTTGAAAGAAACGCAACGTTGATGAGGTCCACATGGTGGATTCATGCCACAACTACGCACATTTTTCATATTCATAAAATTCGGCGCGAGTCCAGGTCTCTGGGCCATTAATTGTACCATGATCAACTCGTCGGGCACCAATGCTAGAACCACCATCAAGCCCAGCGCCACTGCCACCATGGTCATTTTCATTGTTCAATTTGGTTGTGTTCGCACTTTAACTGTTTGTGACTGTGTTTTAAAAAGTACTACACATATGGCATCAGTTAATTATTTTTTGCCCGTTTTTAATTATTAAATTAAAAATTTATAAATAATTCCAGTAATAATGTAATTAAATTATTACAATTATGAAATGTTCTTAATAATTTATAATTATTATTTATAACCATTATTATTATTATTAATATTATTATTACTTATTTTTTTGTGAAATTTTATTGTGTAAAACAAAAGCACATAAAACTTATATCACTTTTAAAACAAAAAATGCCAGTAATATTGAAGACATTAACAAATACTATCTGAACAGCACTTTAAAAGTATACAAATTAAAAATTATGTAATATTTTTGTAAATGCTTTTAGTGTGTGATTTAATTTAATTAAATTTACAACGCTTATTAATTGGCAATAAATTTATTTAACTAGATGAAAATAACAAATATGGTGTTACTATGAGAATTATACACCTTATGAGAGCTCTGATAACTCTTATAATAATACAAAAAACAATTTATTTTAATCAATAGATTCATAACAACATCAAAATAGTATTGAATTATTCGAACCATAAAACAAGAAACTGTTTTTTATTTAATTAATGAACAGTTATTGTAATAATTATACATTTTATTATACATTTTGAATTATTATGTTTAATATAGCTTAACATTTAATTATATTTTTATTTGTTAAAGTTATTAACAATACTATCGTATTCTTTATGAAATATTTTGGTTTTATACCAGAGTTTTCATTATTCTTATTATTATAAATAATATAAGTTATAAATTATGACAATTTTTATCAAACAGTTGTATTGATGTGATCTTGCAGTGATATTGATGTTTTAAAACTATAAAATATAATTTAGACAACAAAATCTAATTTATATTTAATAGATTTTATAATTATTCAATGATATAAAGAATACAAGAATTTTATTTAAATTGAGAGTCAATTGTAAATCAATAGAGAAATGACTAAAAACAGCCGTAAAAGTGGTACAAATTATTAATTCTTTAATTAATAAATATATAAATCAGTTATAAAACAAAACTATTATTTTAATTATGCAATAAAAACACAATAAAACAACTTTTAATTATTATTTAATTCTGTTTTCAATACATGTAATTATAAATATTTGATGAAATTATTTATCATTTCATATTTTCTTAAATTATAAGTAATTTTAAGGCATTTTTGTAAATTTAAACAATTTTTACAGATTTTAATGAAGATATAAAACGAAAAATTATTATAGAAGTGAAAATATTATCAAAACTTAACTCTAATTTAATTAATTATCCACCATCTTTGTAAAATAATTATAAATTAAGAATCGGAATGAAGTTTAGTTGTACTAAAACACAGGTTGTGTTGCATCTAATCTGTGGTGCCGGCCATTATTGGGGTCCGGGTCCACATCTGTAAGTGTGAGTCCCATAAAACACTAGATTAAAAACATTATTTAAAGCCCTAGTTTACAGATACCCTTCCCAAAGGGCCGATCGGGCATTGGATCAGGTGTTTAGAGCACTCATACCTCAGCCATTATACATCCGGCGCCCCACAGGTCTACGGGTGAGTCGTGATTACGTTCGCCCAGCAATGGCTCCGGCGGCCGATACCACAGAGTGACCACACGATTGGTGTAGCGTTTGTTGTATTCCCTGAGCTGATGGCTCGGGCGAGACCAAAGTCGGCCAGCTTTAAGACCCCGTTTTTGGTGATCAAAATGTTGGCCGCTTTCATGTCTCGATGCAATATCTTCTGCGAGTGTATGAAAAACAGCGCATTCAACAGCTGTTGCATCACTTTTTTGTTCTCTCTCATCGAGAAACGGACCGTACAGTTGGCCAGTAGTCTGGCGTAAGTCGTGCTCACAGAACTCCAGCACCAGATAGAAAGTGGCCGCACCTGTACTGACCGAACGGGTGGTCTGAGGAGCGGGCGTAGTGTTGGCCGACTGTTGGTCAACAGATCTCAACGATTGATACGATATTCTTGTGGTTCAAGTGCTCATGTATTTTGATCTCACGACACGACGCGAGTGGGAAGCCTTGCCTCTCGTCGTTGTCCGTCAGCACCCGTTTCAATGCCACCACTCGACCCGTGTGTCTGTCCCGGGTTTTGAATACCTCACCGAACGTACCTATGGTTTGGGTGATAACAATAGCAATATGAACATGATAAGATTTGTTCTTGGTTGCGCTTAATTATGGTGATAATAGAGATGTATGAGTGTATAAGTTGGGGTCTGACAGTTGATGATGATTATGGGTTTGTATGGGATGAGTGGTGGTAACCAAATGGCCATTCGCGGGCCAATCACACGCACTTTAACACCACAGCCATCATCGCCAGTGCTGGTCATCGAGATGTGTAACTTTACACCAGTGTTCAAGACTTGTGTCAACCCGTGTTGGTAGAGGTAGGCCTAGAGGAGGAAGGGAGCGATGTGTGTAATAATACATACCCTGTCCGATCTTGCTCAATTTCTCGTATTTGGACACATAAAACGGGTACTGAAAGCCACGGCCGCCGCCGCAAATCGTGTGCAATTGTTAAGCAAACTTATTTAATTTAATTTTGAAATCAAATTTTATATTACTATAAACCTCGCATAGGCTCTAAACATATGTTTAGTAAATATTTAATTAATTTTCCTTCATTTTCTGTAAAATAATTACAACAAATATATTTAAAAATACTAAAATTAAGAATCGGGATCAAGTTTAGTTGTACTAAAACACTGTTAATAAAACAATTACAATGTACATTAAAAAAATATATGTTTAATATTTTATTTAATCAAGCTTAATCAAATATAACGAGATTACAAATATTTCATTACATATGCAAACTTATTAAATAAATGACATTTTAAGGCAAATCTCTTTATCTTATCGACTGCCGATACACGTGGGATGTGATCATCCCGTATTCAAAACGTCTTGCTGACTAAAACCACTAAAGTCTTGCATATTCGGCCCGTAACCCATTGCTTGTAGAAAATAATCATGTTCATCATCATGATGATCTTGCCCCTCTACCATGATCAACTCGTCGGGCACCAATGCTAGAACCACCATCAAGCCCAGCGCCATTGCAATCATGCTCATTTTCATTGTTCAATTCGGTTGTGTTCGCATTTAAACTGTTTGTGACTGTGTTTTAGAAAAGTGCTACACATATGGTATTAGTTAATTAGTTTTTAATATTAATTATTGTGTTTAATAATTCATAAATAATTCCAGTAATAATGTAATTAATTTATTACACTTATTAAATGCTTATAATAATTTATAATTATTATTTTTAACCATTGTTATTAATATTATTGGGTCATTTGGAAATGTTCAGGCCTAACTGCCTTCTAGTGTAGATAAAATTATGAAAATGGTATCATAATTTAAGTTAACATTCTTAGGCACCAGAAACCAAGTTTCATTAAGATTGGTTGATTAGGCTTTATACTGGAAATTTTTTTAATGTGTTAGTCGGATATATTTTTACAAATTTGTACAAAATTATTTGGTGAAAAATTATTACATTTTTAAAGTTAAAATATTTTTACAAAATACATGTTTAAAGTGATTATTTGGTTATTGAGATTCACAATTAGTTATCCGACAATAGTTTTAAGAAGATTTCATGACATT